CCCATGAGGCTTCATGCATCACCAAAGGACAAAAGTAACAGAGCGACTTCAAACTGACCACGCTTCAACGATCCAGGATCACAACAAAACAAAACAACGACAAAAGATTCGCAAAAAAAAACAAATGAAAATACCCCCCCCCCCAAAAAAAAATAAAAATACTACTACTAAAAACAACAACACAAAATCCATTTGTGTTCTATTCACGCAGCACATCCTGAGACGGTCGACAATCTCCTCCAAAACGAAGATTGAACTCAATGCAAAACAAAAACAAACTAACAATACGCATTTCACATCATGCAACGTGTTCATCGGTCCAGGATCGCAACACTTCTCGGCGAAGACAATCTACATCGACAGCCCTAAAAAAGTCCGACATCATTGAAACTTTTCTAAGAGCAATTTGGAAATGCGCCGCAACGCACGAAAACGACACTGAGTGCCGCTCTGTAGGGCACGCGAGCAATGAATACTTAAAACATTAATCAAACAATGCGATGGGCAAGAACGGCCCCTCCTATGTCTACACTACCTCCACCGCGGCACACTGCAGCACACAGGATGACGACAATGGCGCTGCTCCCAAAACGCACAAGTGGCGATCGCGCCAACCTTGGAGACGTGTGACCGACATACGTAAAGATCGCTTTCGCGATCTCCAAAAGGGCATTGCACATCATCAGGTTCGCCTGGTCGAGCTTCTCGTAGTGCTCCTGCACCTCCACCTCTCGCTCGAGAATGTCGCATTGCCTCGTCCGAACTGAACACTGCCTCTTGAACGCGCTATCCACCGCCGTCGCCATCAGCTTCCCGTGCTTATCCATGACGTCGGTGATCTCATCGAACGTTTGTTGTCTCATATTCCTCCTTTGTCGCCCCCGCCTGCACGACCACCACTGAACGTGGAATCCCTCGTCGATCCCTGATCGTCATCCAGTCCATCCCCACATCCCTCCCTAGCCACGAATTCATTCCGGCCGCCACCAGGCCCGGCCATATGCACCCCTCCAGCTGCACCCGTATCCGTGAGATTCGTCGGGTGAATGATGTGATCGGCCTTGGACATCGTGTTCATCTCGGAATACACACGCTCATCCATCCGAAAGTCGAACCCTTTCTCCTTCCTCTTCACCGGCGTTAGTGTGAAGAAATTTTGCTTTCCGGATTGTCCCATGAATCTGTGCACGGATTTGAACTGCTGGTACAGGTTCTCCCATTTTTTCCCGCACTCCTCCGCCTTCCTAGTAGTCACCCCCGCCTTCACGAGTCTCTTCTCAACGTCATCCCACTTGCACGTCCTCGACTTCATCCGTGAATGGCTACGTCCTACGGTGTCTGACGTGCTTCAGGTACGGTATGGGCCCGGTGACACTTGTTTCACTGCCGTGATTTATTCTCAGGTCCGGGACCACTGTGACGATCTATTTCAGGTTCGAGACCTCTGTGGTGATTTATTCTCAGGTCTGGAAGCATTGTGACGATCTATTTCAGGTTCAGGACCTCTGTGGTGATTTATTCTCAGCTCTGGGAGCACTGTGACGATCTATTTCAGGTTCGGGACCTTTGTGGTGATTTATTCTCAGGTCCGGGAGCACTGTGACGATCTATTTCAGGTTCGGGGNCCTCTGTGGTGATTTATTCTCAGGTCCGGGAGCACTGTGACGATCTATTTCAGGTTCGGGACCTCTGTGGTGATTTATTCTCAGGTCCGGGAGCATTGTGACGATCTGTTTCAGGTTCAAGACCTCTGTGGTGATTTATTTTCAGGTCCGGGAGCACTGTGATGATCTATTTCAGGTTGAGAACTTCCGCGGTGATTTATCTTCAGGCCTCCAGCCTCTGCAGCATTATATTTCTGGTTCGGTATGGGGCGGGCGTCAGTATGTTTCAGGCATGAGTCCACTACGGCGTCTCGTTTTCAGGGTCAGAACCCTCGTGGTGATTTATTTTCAGGTCTGAGACCACCACGGTAGCTTAGTTCGGGTTCGGAACCGACACCGTTACAGCAATTGTTCCAGGCTTGGTGTGGGTTCGGCATCAGCTTATTTCAGGTTTTGCGTTGGTTAAGGCTCCCGCGGAGATTAACTCTCAGGTCCGGAACTGCTACACCATTTTACGACAGGTCCGGAACTACAACAGCAGGTCGACTCGGGTTCGGATCTGGGACGACACTAGCACGGTGCGGATTGTTGCAATTCTGAACTTCATAATTAGCGTCGGTGCGGCGGCCCAAGACTGGTACAACTGCAGATTCGTCACTCTTGGCGCTGGTGTGGTATAACCTCATGGCTGATGCTGATACGATGCTCCTATGGCAAGTCTTGGTGTGTAACACTGATCTGGTCCAAATCGGCTACGTCACGGTAATAGGCCTGGTTCATGATCACTCCGGTCCTATATTCTTACATCGGCAAAAACCTGCCGCAACGGGTCTCTGTCGACAGTGGGGACTCACAGCGAACGCAACATGCTATTCTGATACCGAAACAGAGTGGTAAGGGTGGACCAGTTGGGACTGTTGGGGCATACAGAGTTATTACGTCTAGTTTGCCAAGGCCTACGGGCTGGGACTGGGCCGAGGTCTACGCTCAGGTGAACTGGGGAACCATATAGGGAAGACGGTCGGAAGAAAAGGGGGAGGTGAGCAAGGTGTACCCGCGACACGAAGCTCGGAGTGGGGGCATTGACGCTTAAGCGGTTGCACCGCGGGCGAGGAGAAAGCACGCGGTAGAACCCCCAACGCGCAAGCGGTTACTCCTCGTGTGGGAGGAGAAAGGCAAAGAGACTGGGCGAGAAGGTGGGGAGTGCCTGGCGTAGGGGGCACTCAGCATAGCGCGTTTMAACCRGGGRGGAARCAGCGAGCCRGGTGTKCCTCGCATAAGCGCGATTGACTTCGGAGTCTTATCGYAGAGCTATGGAGTGAAGACGAAGATGAGTATGCCCCTCCCGAGTCACAATACAAAACCAAAGCTGTTCCGAGTCACAAGACAGAACCAACAGCCATGGAAGGCTCCCATGTGAGAGACAGAGGAGAGAGAACAAGAGTGCCAGGAGTACAGTGCGAGCAGGCGGGAAAGACGTTATCTAGGCAGCCATGACCGGGGTGTGAAAAGGGGCATCGGCGTACGAGGCGCTTCTGTGACTTGAAGAGGGACATACTGCAGGTGTGATCGGCACCCGCTGTTGAATTGATCAGCGTTCACGCTGAAGAGAGAAACAGATGCACCCACTATTGGTGTGACCAGTCACTTTCCCCAGCTGCATAATCTCTGCGACACATGCGATCCTTACGACCAACATTTTGTCATGTGAACGTCGCAGGTAATCATTTATGCCTTCTGTTATTTTATACTGATGAGACAATCAATAACCCCCAGGGTGGGTGTGATTCAGCCACTCGCGCAGAAGGGAGAACCAGAAATACCCGCTGTTCGTGGGAACAGCCGCTCCCACTGATGATGCAATCAGCCATACTTACTGTTCGTAGAAACTGCCACTCTCCGACGACATGAGGACGAATTATAGGCTGGCATCCTCCATTGTCGGCGCCAATAGCAAATCAGACCACATATTCACAAGCGGGATTGGAAAACGCGAATTTTGACCGTACGGATCTTATTTTCGTGACCAAATGAACATAACGCCAGGGGACGGCGCGGTTGTAACGCCCCTGAGCGTGCCGTAGCACTGCAGGCTGGGAAAGAGAGCGAGAAAGGGGGACTGACATACAGCAAAGAGAAGAGAGAGAGTAAGAGAGAGAGAGAGAGAGAGAGAGAGAGAGAGAG